AATCCACCTTTAACTGGAGGCATTTATTAGAGAAAGATAATGTCAAGCTGCACAGCCTGACTTCCAGCTTTTGCTTTTGTTCACCGCAGAGCACATCCTCCTTGGAGCTTTGTGCAGTGTGTGGAAACAGGTGGTGGGTCGCTTATGTGCTGTAAGTAAATGCATCGTTAGTGCCACCTATCACTTAAAGTTAGCCCCTTTGCTGTTGTGTAGGCATGATAGAAACCTAAGTGTACACTAGCACATTGGTAAGTCAGTGCACACCACAAACATCTTTGTTTTACAAACTACATGGCCCAACCCTACAAGATACCATCCTTCCTCACCTTAGTTTTCTCTGTAAGAAGAATTCACCACGATAAACTTGCTATATTCAGCAATGATGTGAACTCAGAGGTGCAAATCCTGAGTAACACAAAATAATGCATCAGTCGCTGAGGTTTGGGAAGGCCTGATCCTATAGCCTCTGCCTGAAGCCAAGGTGCAAGGTCTCAGGAAAATCTCCTGTGAGGTTGTTTGGTAGCTAATACCAAACCCGATCAGATTTTCAGAGTAAATGAATCACACCCTGGACAAAATGCCAAAGAGTTTCCCCTGCAGAAAATGTGATATGCTCTGTGCCATACTAAATGTGGCTTGTCGTATGGGATCAGACTAAAAATCTGCCTAGCTGAAATCTTGTTTCTGATAGTGGGCCTTTGTGAGGAGCCTGAGAATAGGGCATGAAGAGCGTGATCTCGCTCTGCAGTTGGTAAATGGAGGATTTCCTGAGCTCCATCTAGACCGCTGCGTTCAACAGCTGCCAAAGGACCTGTCTTCCACTGATTTTTTCCTTTTTTAAAGCAGTTTGGTTTTAGTGTCTACAACATGCAGTGACAAAAAATTCTGCCATTTCATTTCTTCGTTATGTGAAAGGCATGCTGCCTTTTGCTTTCCCTAAAGTGAAGTGTGGTATGTGGCAAAACATGCAAACACTGGCCCCAGATGACACAGTGCATAAGGATGCATCCAAGGCAGGAGGCGGGCAGAAGGAAAGGTCTTGGGCAAAACATTTCCATTCTTCCAAACGGCTTTCCTTTCCCACTTCCTGCCCCTCATGATGCTTAGTAATCTGTCGCTCAGATGTAGCTTTCCCAGTGTTTCCCTGTCTTGCTTCAGCTGAGTCTCAGGGTGGTCCTTCCACATCTCCCGAGGGCACTCTGCTGGCCTTTGCAAAGGACCGTGCTGCATCTTCACAGACCATCTGGCTCATCGCTCAGCTTCTCGCCCTGCCAGGCCATGTCCCTTTAGCTGAAGGTGTGGTTGTTTCTCCAGGACCTTGTTGCATGCACGTTCCCTGAGTCTGGCAGATTATTTCCATTTCTGTCTTAATAATAGCCTAAACTGGGACTCGTGTTCATCTGTGTTGCTTCTGCCTCCTGCGTTCAGGCTACTCAATGTTTAAACCTTGCCATAAGTATTAATTTAACAAGAAGTAAACTGGGTTTTGCTGGCACTTTGGATTTCAAATACGGTACAGAAATATGAAGAAATGCCAGAGTTTGGTCCTCAGTCAAACTAGTCTTGACTTTCAGACTAGCTTTGGAAAATAAATCCGTTAACACATTTCCTGTGGGTATCTTGCTCATAGTTGGCTGCAGTTTATGACGGGAATTTTTTCATTTTGTTTTGGTGTTTTTTTTTTCACATCTTCTGTAGCATTTTTTTCTTGGTGCACAGCACTGGAATTTTTCCTGTTTCCTGAAGTTCCAGACTGAATATAAACTGCTACCACTACTATTCAGGGTGGGTGAATTAGCCCCATTGCAGCGGTCTTTCTGAGACCTAGACGTTAGTGGAATCTATGACTCTAACGGGAGTTAAGCAAAGCGTACGACTCTTGTTGTCTGTCTGTAAAGTAATGAAATTCATTGGGGAGATTTCACTGCAGCGCTCTTGTTCTCTTACCCCAATGTAAAGCTCACAACGGTGCTCTCTTTGCTTTTGGGGAAGTGTGCAGCTGTCCAGCTGAAAGCAGTTCTGGCAGCAACACATATTTGCATAGGATTCAGGTGCATAAGAGACTGTGTGGAAGAACCGACATATGAAAACAGTAGATAAACAGATTTGTGTGTCCTATGAAGGGAGAAAACAGTTTTCCATGTCTGTATGTTTTGGGAATTCCCATGGTTCACCAAAGGATATTTTTCTAAGATTGACCTGACATCTACCTTTCTCTGTTTGTTTGAATCAGTGTCTCTCTCGAATGTAGCTACTGTTTGAGAGCTGTTGGTGGACTAGACAATTTCTAACACAGTGGGACTTCAAAATCCTCAACTTTGTTCTGCAATTATAATTACTTTTCGTAGTAGGAGGGTTAGGCTTAAGGCCAGGGAAAAGAGATTTAAGTCAAGATTTATGACTAGTGTCTTTTAGAAAAGTGAGGAGTTTTTCGATTTTGTAGTTGATGCTGGGGTGGCAAAATTGAAGCATTGAATTTAATTGCTAACTCAATTAATTCAGTTTCTTAGCATGTATTTTTCACTTTTTACAGTGGGTTTTAGCTCGAGGAAATGAAATGCAAAACTCACTTGACCATATTGTAAATTAGATTAAGCAATATTTTTATCTATGTGTTATTCTGTGTATGCTATTGATGTTAATGTGCAATGCATATTACTGTTCCATTATTGATTTACAGGGAGCTATTCATTTGAAAGTGAATGCCTCAGTCCAGCATTGCATCTAGATAAAATAACTTTTCTCCCTTTCCATAATTAATGAAGAAACATTTAAAAGCCCTGCGGCGGAAGTTGGGCTTAATGGTGCAACTCAGAGATCAGGCTGGGGCTCCTTTAAACTCCTGGATGCAGTCTGAGAGATGGAAGCAGCCCTTCATCCTCATAGGCTATGTCTCTGTTAGAAAGTAATGTGGCCCAAAGTAATTTTGCAGAACAGAACAGCTGCGGCTGAGGATCTGATGTCTGCATTACGCATATTTCAGGGAGGTCGTTGGAGTGTATTAGATGCGCCCCTGCAGTGCATCCTCTGGTTTAGTTTCATCCCAAAGGTACCCAGTTTGTGCTCTCCTTGACCACACAGCAATATGAACCTAATCATGCTAAATCAGGACAGTTGGGAGATTTGCTTCTAAATCGCTTCTGCACTCCTGCTCCTGCTGATGTGCTGCACCCTTAAATAGTTGAATAACAGTCCTAAAGTAGTGATTTGGCTTCTCGAGCCAAATTTATTTGTAAAAGCATTGTAGCTTGCTGTCAGTACCAGCACACATCTCTGTTACTTGGGTGTAGATTTTCTGCAGTCTTTGGCTTGAGTACAGCCCTGTGGTGATGCTTAAAGCTTCCTGGTGCTTATCATAAGTGTTGGGCTTCCTCTTCCAGTGACCCATTCAGAATGAAGAAAATGTCATGCTACAACACCCCCACCCTCAATCTTGCCGTAGTTCAATGTATGTTTTTCTGCGTATCTGTCAGAATTAATCTAGCAAGTCCTACAGAAGCATCCTAGCTGTGAGGAGCATCATATTATGCAGCTATCGAGTTCTAAATGTGGATGATGATGCTGAGAATGAAGGTAGGATGGCAGAATACAGCCTTGAAGAAAATGGTTACAACCAGTGAGGAGAAAACTCAGAAGAGAAGGGTCAAGGACAGGCAATCAGAAAGAACCAGGGCATGAAATCAGTGGTGGAGCAGAAAAGCAAAACCTCTGTCAAAACAGAGGTGGTGCCAGTTGACTGGAGAATAGCAAAGAGATAAAGGGGTTTACCTGTGAGAGACTGGCAGATTCATCTGATAGTTGTATTTGATAAGAGATATAGGGAAGGTGGGACACAACTGGAGTTTTTTTTTGCTTCTAAGGAGAAAGGGAAGAATGATAGCTCTTTTTTATCTTGACTTGAATAAAGCTTTTGATACGGTGCCACATAGGAAGTTACTTAAGAAGATTAGGACTAGCAGGAAACTTGAAAGTTGCATAAGGGATTTGCTAGTGAGAAGGCAGGGACTAGAAAAGAAAATAGATGCTTGCAGAGGAAACACCCAGTGAGTGTTTAGTGGTTGGTCTTGGGCTGTTCTTATTGCTTCTTTAGGTGGTTCCTCTTGACACAAAGAGTAGGAGGGTGCTAATGGGATATCCTGCCATTATGTTGCTGCTCATAAGGGTGATTCGGAGTTGAACAATTGCAGAGGGATGGACTGCCCAATTTCTATGGGACATGGATTGCTTAGCTTTGCAAAATGAAGGTTGAGAGGTTATGATTGGTCTCTAAAAGTACACTGGGTTAAGCACCAAAGAGGGGGAAGGCAACTCTTGACGCAAGAACATGTGAATAAACACTACCTACTGCAGCATTTTGGCTGGAGAATAGAAGAGTGTTGGTGGAGCTTTCCAACACTGGAGATAAGGAACTAGCAAGTTTAAGGGAGAGCTTGACAAATTTGTGGAAGGGAAGTTATGCTGGAGTTGCCTATGACAGCTGAGACTAGACTTGACAATGTAAGAAGCAAGAAGTTTCTTCTAAAATTGTACTCATGGATTCAGGTAACACTGTGAAGAGAAGCTCTCTATCTGCTATAGATCTATACATATATGTCTTTTAACTCCTAGCCGAGGAAAACCACTCTGAAATCTGAAAGGCAGGCTGTGCTTTTTTGGCTTGCATGCTTTTATGTAGCCTGTGCGATTGTAAATCTGATTAGTATTCTTTGTGGTACGGGGGTTGTGGTGGAATCCAGTTTGCCCTCCCAGGACTGTACAGCCTGCATAATGTGAATAGGAGTAGGAAGCAGAAAAATGCTTTATTTATTTTCTTTGTTAAATCCCTATGATAAGCCTAGATAAAATGCCAGCAGAGCTGTTTTGCAGTGTAAAAAGGTGGAAAGTAAGTGAGAAGATACTTTTGTTTAAGGGTAACAAAGCTGTAGCGTTATAACTGTGCAGTGATGCTGTTTTGTGGGGTGTGGTTGGTTCAGCTAATGATAGCAGCATCTTTCTTGCAGGCTCAAACAAGAAGATGGGGTGCCAGGGATTTATCAATTTTGGAAACCAACTTCTTCGCCGAAAAAACGTGGATTGTACTCGAGAAGACAGTCGGCTCTCGCGATGCCTCAACACGTTTGACTTGGTGGCTCTGGGTGTAGGCAGCACTTTGGGTGCCGGTGTCTATGTACTGGCTGGAGCTGTGGCACGAGAAGATGCAGGACCCGCCATCGTTATCTCCTTCTTGATTGCTGCCTTGGCTTCTGTGCTGGCTGGACTCTGCTATGGAGAATTTGGTGCTAGAGTACCTAAGACGGGATCAGCTTATCTCTACAGTTATGTGACTGTTGGCGAGCTATGGGCTTTCATTACTGGCTGGAATTTAATTCTTTCCTATGTTATTGGTAAGTATGGTAGGTGCACTGCAAGATCGTAGCTTTAATCCAAAATGGCAGCCTCGTTTGTAATATCAGTCTTGTTGGCACTGTTGTGTTGCTGTTATAAAGCAGAAGCAACATGCTCTCTTGTACCTGCTGAAGATTTCAGGACTTTCTTGCAGGAATACTTTGATGGTGGCTCCTGTCACTCTGTGAGGTGTGTGGTGTATTACAGGCTGAGAGTCTGTACCGAAGCTGGATTTTTACTGCAGCTACTTCTGAACTTACACATTATCCATCAGGCATGCCCCTGGCTGAGAGGCTGCTACATACTAGTCAGGAAACAAAAGTGTTTTCCTTCTGCTAGGGAAGAAGCAGCTGACAGCAGGATGCTTCTACACCACAGCATCTGTACTGCTGGCTGATTAGGGATTAATTTCTGGTGCCTTCAAAACTTGTTTAAATTACCTGGAGATCAGAATTTTTTTGCATGAGTTGTTGCAGATTAGGCTAAGGATGAGCTGCAGGTTCACAGACTCTGAAGGGTCCAGACCAAATCCCTTCTAAGTCCTTGACTGCCACTAAGAGAGGCATTGGATGAAGCTCTGAGCATGCAATGTACAACTCAGCTGATACATTAAAACTAAACCACATTTTGCTAATTAAGGATTCATGAATCCTTGTAAGGCTCCTGTCTCTTCAAGCGTGTTCAGGGCTTGCTGCTTGTCATCGTGCCTATAATTAAGGCTGCAACCAACTTTTCAGTTCAGAGAGAAGACTTACTAGTTAAAATGAAAAACCAATATTCTGCTAAATTATTAGAGAGAGTTATTTTTTTAACGAGATTTTATGGGATGTGCAACTGTTACCCTGCAGATTAGTTCTCATGGTGCTGGGGAGGGGAGGGTAAGATCATATCACTACTGATACAGTGATGGAGCAGCTGCTTGTCTGAGACGGTGCTGGCTCTGTTCTGTGCATCTGAAACTTTTTCCTCCTTTTTTTATTAATAAGAAATGAGAGGAAAAGCCAGAGTCATTTAAACTCACCTCCTTAAGAAATGTGAGTCCAACGATTCTTTTATGAGTCAAGTTCATTGCAGGTAGAGGATAAAAGGTAGTTTTTAACAAACTAAGCACGAAACTTTCCCCAGATTCCCAGAACGGTCTCTGCTTAGGCTGCATGTAGAAAAATTGAACAGATTTCTTAATGGTTTCTCTTCCAAAATGGTAATAATAAATAGTCTTCTCCATGCTGCTCATCTAGTTAGTTACATGGCCTTTCCTGCCATGATACTGGACAACCGAAATGAGTGATGTAGTTGAGGAGAGGCCAAGGTGGCATCCCAAAACCTGATTCTGCAAATGCACAATGAGAAGATTTGCCTGTATAACGTTACACCTACAGGATCTAGGCTGAGTTTGATATTTTTAAGGTTTTTTTCATTCTCTCATAATGAACCACTTTTGAACCGCTGCCTCAGTTGTTACTTTAGAATTGGCTACTTGGTGTATTACAAGGCATAAGGCAGAAAATGTTGTAAAAATTAGATAGGTATTATCCACGAATGTACTGTAACACAACTTTGTTACTCTTACTTCATTCCTGTGACAGCAATGTAGGTTTGCAACTGTCTTCCTCATAATTTGGGAGGAAGGGTGGCTAAGCAGAAAAGCAACTCCCAAGAGGATATGAGCTGTAGCAAGTCTGTTCTTTATCTTATGCAGCCCTTTTCCCCGTGGTTGCCCCTCTTGTGAGCAAGGATAACTCCCACCAGCTTCAGGGGTGTGGAAGGGAAAGATGTGTTGGCAGGTACGTTCTGCAATTCAGAGCTAGGGGATGAGAGGAGGCAGGCTGCCAAATTTGTATTCAGTCAGGCTGCAGAATATCCAGAGCAATGCCACCAAACCAGTCAAGGCAGTGGGAGCTTGCATCTCTAAGGGATCTGGCCAGGTTGGTATTTTCTAACTGAGGATCTGTGACTTCTGTTCAGCCCAGGTAGTATGAAGTATGGTGGGGAAAAAAAGACGTGCTGGGGGCCCAGGGCAGTGGTGGCCCACAGATGAATTGTGGCCTGCAACATGTAATTAACTGCAGTGAGTTGGCTTGGGGGAGGGTGTAGTAGACCATGCCAGGAGGAAGGGTACGTGCAAGCGTTGTCCATGTAGCATGGGAAACGAACCGACGGCTAGACGGTGGCAGCTTCTTCCCAGCCCCTCTGATAGGGTTCGGGCTTAGCTGGGTTGAGGTGCCTTGGAGCTGGCTGGAAATTGGTATAGGATCTTGGAGACGGGTGACAAGTGAGGGTAGGTGTGTGACTAGTCGGTGGCCATCTAGACTATAAGGAAGCAGGCTTTCAGGATCAAGATGTGGTCTGGACTTTGTTCTGGGTCGATGAAGGTTTGGGGGACTGTGCCAGATTGTTGGGAAACGTTTCAGGAGCAGGAAGCTGGGAGAAGCTGGTAGAACGATGAGTAGTAGCATCCTTGGAGAATATCTCTTGTTAAATGAAGGGGATTCCTGGGGCCTGTGGTCACCTCCTAGCCCACGCCTGTTTGTGTAATGAGCAAGAGCAGGAGGTCTGCACTGGAGCTCATAAGCCCTTCTGAGAGCTGTATGGTGCAGACGGGAGCAGCTTGATTCTGGCAAGGACGGGAGCAGCTTGATTCTGGCAAGGTTGTGATGGTCCAAAGCTAGTAAAACCTTCTGGATACAGGTTGACTGCGTGGCCTAGTGTCTTTGCACAATACTTTCTAGCAGCAATAAAGAAATTACCCAGGTGTCTCCAATGCTCGAAGTGTGTCAGGTTCCCCCCACTCCCTCAAGGATGTTGGGTACAGAGAGTTGAGTAAAAATTGCTGATACTTATGTGGAACTGGCTTCCAAGCAACTGGCATCCAATATAAAGAATACAGGAGCTGGTTGTTCCAGCTCCTAGAACATGAACAGCCAGAACAAAAAAAAACAGAACTAAAGAAATAGCCTCTTTCCTAGAATTGCGCTGAAGTGAGTTGAACAATTTCAGCATGATACACAATAACTTTGGAGTTTTTCAGGGTTAAATGTCTCGCTGTTTGATGGCTTTGCTCTCCTATCTCTTCAGATACATTCACACTACGCACACCTCCATCTCAGCAAACATAACAATGTCCCAAACCTGTGTGGTTGGTGTCTTAACGTTTATACTATCAAAAAGCCAGACTGGCAAGATTAATGTTCCCAATTTTACTGCAGGTAGTGCCGATCCATTGCTGAGGAGGATTTAACTCTGGGTAAGCACAGACATTGTTTAACACAATTGCAGGAACTGGAGTTGGAACCTGAAAACCTGCCCATGTCAGATCCAGGCTCTTTGAGTTCACGCTGGTGAATGTGTCAGGACAAACTGTTCTAGGTGGAAGCGGACCCAGACAAAGTCCTCTAAAGAATTGTTCTGCAAAACAAAACCAAACCAACTCCTATTTTAACCAAGCAATTATGTCCAGTGGTAATTATGCCATGCAATTAGATGCTATTATATGTACTGTGTAAGACATTGATAGGATAATGATAACCACTATAACACAGTAGGAGAGGGAGAAGTAGACTATCTGTTATCCAAACCTGTTTATTTTGCATGGTTCTATCACTCTGTGGTGGTATCTCTTTGTTGTTACTATCTCAGTTCTCTGAAAGGGCTCTCTGGCCTAGATAATGTCCCAGACTTGGTTATGATGAGACCCTGGCTTCAGTCCTCACCCTAGCAGGCTGTGCATGGTTCGTTGTTCCTGATATAGGAAATAGAGGCTGCGGAGCGGGTAGTCTTAATGCTTATTGCCGGGAGGAGTCACGTTGCTTGCTAGAATTAGCATTAGAGTCCTGCTATATGATAACATATGCTCAGATAATCCAGAAACCACATTTGAGCTAGATGTATCATCATCCCGCTCAGATACGCTAGCACCAGAGTCTGAGCGGACCTACACATTGCCGGAGTGGAGTATTTATATAGTTGAGGTGAGTTTTGCGGTCTAGGCTATGGTGCTCTAGCTTTGCGCTGTCCGAAGCCAAGCTGCCTCATGTAAGATGTCTCTGGCTGGGCTGCAGTAACCCCAGCGTAGACACATACCTAGTGATTTATACCAGCATGAGAAGAGACTCAGACTTCCCTAGCAGCACAGGTTACAAGGTTTTGAGGAAGTGAAGGCTGCTGGAGGGCGTAAGGAACATATCATTCCAGTCTATAACTTAAGGCAGAGAAGAGGTTTTGGGGAAGCTAAACCTCTGTAAGGAGTTGTTTATCTTGTTGGTTAAGCATGTGTCTGAGTCTTACCACCAGTATTAACATTGAAGCACATGCTAGGCATGCATATAGACTGAGTTCTGAGTTCTCAGGAGGATGAATACTGGAGCATGATGGGAAACTTTGTACTATCCCAGACTGTCGTTCACGTGATCTGGAAGCATGCAGGTCCCAGGCCTGGCTGTACGTAGTGCAATGTAGACAGACTGGATCTGCAGAGGAAAGTCTGCTACTAGTCCCTGAGAAATGAATGCTTTTAGGGCATCTTGCACTTGGAGGCCTGCCATGGCCAAAAGCAGTACAAGGGTGCCCCTCATTTAGAGTGTATGCCAGCCGTGAGAAGTGATCTGCATCATTTCTGTCCTTTTGCAGGAACCTCGAGTGTGGCCAGAGCGTGGAGTGCAACATTTGATGAAATCATAGGACAGCACATTGAAGAATTTTGTAAAAAATACATGACTATGGATGCTCCTGGAGTGCTAGCAAAATACCCAGATATCTTTGCTGTGGTCATAATCATCATCTTAACAGGTAAACCCCTTGGAGGGGTTTGTGAGTCTTGGACCTTCCTCTTCTGTAATTTCATTGTTTGCTTTTGAAATAGGCACAAAGTCCTCATTTATTTTGGGTACCTTATTAAAAGCTCTTTGTTTGCTACAAGTGTTGGATTGACCTATTTAGTTGCCCCAGAGTTAGCACTGGGCCTATACTGTTTACAAACTTTAATAAGAGAGGAGCATTCTAGATATTTTTGTGAGCAAATTTTAAAACCTTTAATCAAATTTCATATAAGGAAGGAAGGAAGGAAAAGGTGACTTGTTACCTTCAATCAGGTATGGAAATTTACTCCTTCCCCTTCTTCCCCAAATCCTGTTGCACAAGAACTGGGCTCTGCTGCTCTGTTTTACTTATTCCCACTTTGATAATCTGCCAGTTTTCAATGCCTTGGGCCTTGAAAAGTGAGAGAAAAAGGATGGCACTCAGTAACAACGTCATGTACTACTTTTTTTTTTAAAGGTCAAATAGGGAAACATGTATGGGCTTCAGTTTGCAGCAGTGAATGCAAGCTGTAAGAGAAATAAATGTGTGGAAGACAATCAGGTCCCTTTTTTTTTTCCTTCTAAAAATATGCCAACGCTTTGGATCAGAATTTGGAAAAGGTTTTGAACATTTGTAAATTTAAAAACCCTTCTGAACGTTTACCTCTATTCCAACTGGATTTTGCAAAACATTGCCAAATTTAAGCAAATTTAAAAAATTATACTCTTCAAGCACCTCTGTGGTTCCCAGAAGGCAGAAGCTACAATTTTTACCAACAATGAGGTTATTCTCACATTTCTACTCTGATCAGGACTGGCATCTCACAGCATGGCCTGTACTCATAAGGACAGCCTTCATAAGCAAGTAGTGCTTTGGCATCTGGGTTTGAATGTGGATTTAGGACTGCATCTAGGACTCTCTAAGTCCTCCGTATTCAAGGCTATATTTGAATATGAGAGAAAATTTTCTTCTTTGTTCATCTACATATAATAGGACTTCCTCTAGTATGAAATCAGAATTTGGTCTTTCAACTCAGATGCTATTTACACAATTTAGGTTGCCTCATCTTAGCTCTACTGAACAGTAAAATGGTGCTGATTACTGATGGCTTTATTCTCTCTCCTGGAACAAACTCCCTGGATGTTAATAAAAAATACAGTCCTTTCTTTTCTACAAAAAGATTCTGAATGAGCAGCTTTACTCCTAAATATGAGCTGTGTAAGTTTATTCCTGCTTGAGCTATCTTGAGTGTCTCATTTCTGCTAGGTGCCTTACATGTTCTCCTGGTCAGGTGCAGTGCTTTATTGTGCTTCCCTTATGTGCAGTGCTTTATTGTGCTTCCCTTATGTTGCTGTCTCAGCCTATTTCCTTGTTCTAAAAGGAGGAGATGTGACTGCACAGGACTCCCCTCTGTCTGTGGAATGCCTTGGAGGAACAGTCCAGGCAACATGTGGTGCTACTCTCCTCCCTTAGGTCTTTGTGATATTTTTTTTAATTTTCTCTCTCAGCCATCTTATTTGATTTGGATTAAAGGTTTTTGAAAACCAGGCGGTGGAGGAGCAAATTTGAATGATCAGTTTGCTGTTCTCAGAAGCTGAGTGATGCCTCAACAAGCTGTTGATTGCCAGTGCCTGCAAATACACTGTTATTCACATGGATATCCTTAAGCCCACAGGCTGAATTCCTCCTCTCACAGAGGTCACTGGCAAAAATCCCACTGATTTAAATGGGAGCAGTATTCCCAAGATGCCACCTTCTTCCATGTCTTAAGCACTGGAAGTAGCTGACACTAAGGAAAGTTTAATGTTTTTTGTAACTTCTGCATTTATTGAAGACTTCTAAGACAAATGTTCCTTGCAGTGCAGACAAAGCCACTTGTAGTGCTTCCTCCAGGGCCCTGAGTTTGCTGGGACTGTGGTCTCTGGATGGAGTTGTGGCTCTGTCTAGACGGCAATGTAGTGCTGTGATGTGACCCGAGCTGAGGCTGAAACTGCTGGAAGCAGCACAGCTGTATTAGCAAAGCACTTTACCTGGGGTAGACGCTAAATGGAAGTGCTATGTAGGAAGATGTGTTAGATCAGGCAGTAGTAGTGTGTGGGCTGGAGCCCGCATCCTCTTTACTGATGAATTAATACTTAACCTACCCTAGCCCTAACCTGGGCTAGTTGGCTTTCTGGGCAAACAAGGTGTATTAACTTGGGCAGAGCACAGTATTAATGCAGCACTACTGTTTTCAGGAAGTGAGCTGTCCTATTTGCAACTGGGTTATGTTTACGGACCTGCCATGCCTGCTGCAAGTGGAGAAATATCTGACTGCACATTTGCCATTTTTCCTAGGGCTTTTAATTTTTGGAGTGAAGGAATCTGCCCTGGTGAACAAAGTGTTTACCTGCATCAACATTCTCGTCCTCGGCTTTGTCATGGTATCAGGCTTTGTGAAAGGATCTATTAAAAACTGGCAGCTGACTGAACAGGACATTTACAACATCAGCCACGGCATTTATGCAGACAAGTAGGTTGGACCTTTTCTTCTCAGCACTAAAATTGATGTGTTTTGAATGGCAAGTTTGTAGGAGGGCTTGCTCCGTGATCCCCTCAAAACTCTTCAGAATATCAGTGAAGGGGATTGTTTCTTTCTTCACCAAAAGCCTTTGGGGACAAGGCAGGTTTCAGTGGGAGTTTGCTGAAAGCAGGATAGGCTGATGAGATGAAACTGAAAGGGGTTATATAGTCTGAACGTGAGTCCTGCTGGATAAGTGAGCATTTCCAGCGTCATGACTAATATGGCATCTAATTAGAGAAAAAAAGAGTTTTTTGTATAACCTGCAACTCAGGGCTGCACCATGCTGGCTGTGGTGTCTATTTTAAACCGTTGCCAAGTATAGCTATGTGTATAGCTATGTAGCTCCTTTGGACACTTGGGCAAGATCTTTGAGGCACCGTTGTACCTTTTGGAGACTTTGTCCTAAATGCTTAGGTAAAATGGAAAGCAGCTTGCAGGTTATTTTAGTGCATTGCAGCAAGCATATCACAAATCCATTTTTAATGACATTTTGTTGCTCGACCAAAGTCCTCTCTTCCTGCACAAGGCCAAAATTGAGGAGCTTAGAAGGGCTGTCAGTGATACAGGGCTGTTAATTTTTGCTTGAGACAGTGCAACACAGACTGTTTGCTCTGGCTTTTACATGTCTCCATGTACCTCTACTCAGTCCTGGCTTGCTATCTAAACCCTTTGTGCTGGCCTGCAAGGAAGTACAGTTTGGCACTAGCTGGACAGATTTACACACATTTCACGGGTCAGTTTAGCTTGGATACGAACAAGCCACTTACTGAGCCTCTCTACACAATTCAGCCTGCTGTGACCTTTTTCCCTGCAAATAAATGGCTTCTGTAGGAAAAATCTCCCCTCCTTCCCTAATGCTGTTCCTGTGCAATTAGTAATTAGTACAATACAGTGTAACTGTAGCACTCTTATCTGTAGCACTTGTTATTTTTGTAAAATATATCTAGGGGTTTATTTTACTTTTATCATAATTTCCATAATGGAGTAATCCATGTTTGGATTGTCTCTGCGATTTCTGCAAATAACAGGCAACTTTTCTGCAATAACAAGCTCAGTCTCAACTGAGCTTGTGCAGTCGAGAGTTGAGATACTTCGACCTAATACGACTTGCAGATCTATAATTTACATTTATTTAATTGAATTTTTCTTTTTCTTGAATTTTGGGTGACCAAAGTTGCTTAAACTGAAAGGTATTTTATGCACATGTGACTCAAAACAGGCATATGATCCAGAGTGCACTGAAATCAGTAGGAGCTTGCCTATTAATGTTATTGAACTTTGGATCAAGCCCAGCAAGGCATTTGCCTGCCTTATTAATAGATTAAGTTAATGAGATTACATAGTATTTTGCAGTTCTGCCTGCACACACAAATGGGATGTATTTTTGTCATGTTTGGATGAGTAGTAATGTCATGTTTTGAAATGTGAGAGTATATTGTTTTTTCCTGACATTCAGGACTCCCCTGCCCCCATATTTCTGATCCTCGGTACTCAAGGGAAAGATTTTTCCTGCTTATCACTGTCTACGCATGATGCTTTTCTATCTGTTGTCCTTGCTGCCACCATTTTTTCTTTCTGGAGATAAGCATTCGCTATTTCATGAGCTTAGTGTTAACGCTGTGCTTTAGGTACGATCCGAGCATGTTTAAGAGATTGCGCTGCTACCAGGGATGCAGGCTCCTCTCTTCCATCGTGGTCACAGGCAAGGTTAGGATAGGAACTTGGCACAGAGAATTTTTGAAGTTCAGAATTCAGGATTGGGTGTGTTTTAGGCATTCACAGCATCCTGCAGTGATCTCTGATGTGCATTCACGTACACTTTACCTGAGTCCATTTTAGGTAAAAGGAGATGGTTTAAGTCTCTCTGTCTTCATTTTTCAGAATTGCCTGTTGTGCTTTTTCAGAAGCTTTGTGACAAGGAATGTGTATAAATGTGTATATATGCACGTACATGGTAATATTAGGAGAGGAACTTTAATCTTTGTTATTTTCTCCTTGTCTTAGCCAAGACATTTTTATCCTGAAAAAAGTGATGCGGAATGGGAATAAACCATGAACTTTGAACCTTTTTTTTAAGTGCACTCCCCAGGCTGTTGTAGGCAAGTCCAAATTTCAGTAATGGGTAAGGCTTAGCGTTTTGCCTGATGTTTGTCTGCTGGCTGTGTGAAAAGGAGAACACATTCCTCTGAACTCCAGCTTTGAATTTTGCTGTGAGCTGCGTGAATAGTCTTGTTGTTCCCACCTAGACAATATGTCTTCTAACCATGTGCCATGCCTTTTAGTCAAACCCAGGGAGAAATGCTTTATGGTGTTGGAGGGTTTATGCCCTATGGATTGAATGGAGTCCTCTCAGGGGCAGCCACATGTTTTTATGCTTTCGTGGGATTTGACTGTATTGCCACCACAGGTAAGAGGAAAGACGTCTTCATTCCTGTTATGAACCTGTTTGCTGGTAGACTGGCTTTCAGTAAAGTTATACAGCATAGCTAGCTAATGGGTAACTCAGGACACTGCTTTCATTATCCCTCCACACCTCAGCCCCAAATATGTTTTTGACTCAGCTGGCTCCTTGTTCTCACAGTGCCAAATACGTCATAAGTCCCTTGGTGCCTGACTTCTAGGTAGTGTTGACTTATAGCTGCTGTGGTAAGCAGCTAGACCTTATAACCCCAAAAAGCAGCTTTTACCTTCCTACTTTGCCTGCAGGGCCCAATTGCATGGGTGTTTGCTGATGATGCTAACCCAACTAGCATGACCTGTTTTACCAGTTAGGTACCTGGGAAAACCCGTGTTCAGATGCTTCATATAACTGGCAGAGTTTGAACCTCTAACTCCAGATGATGCTTTAATCAGCAGGTTATTCTGCAGTAGGATGTTTCAGTACCTTCAGCTGAAGGTGTTCCACCTGGCTTGGAGTATTTAAAGAGGCAAAGAAAGAGGAAGTCTGTGAGGAGGAGTCTGCAAGCTAAAGCAGTTCCTCAAACTGAGGATCACCAAGGGTTCAGAGATCTCCTCCTGAGAGAGCAGCCTTCAGCACTGGCTCCTTTCTCCTGGCTTAGAAGAATCTCAGTTCCCTGGAGAAGGCAAGGAGTCTCCTTACTTTCCCGGTTCATCAAGAACTGAGTTGCTTCAAAGCCAGAGCAGGAGGAGGAGGAGATCATCACAGAGACCGATAACCCAGTATTGCCTCTTGTTCCAAGGAGTTTGAGGAACTCTGACTGCATTATTCCAGCTAATCTTAGGGCTTCTCAGACCTGGAAGGGAAACACGTCTGCCTGGTTTCAATTTATGGGGTCTAGTTCCTCCTGCTTATGGATTCGTCCTTCTGAAATGGCAAAGATCAGAAGCTCTTGGCTTTGCGAGAACAGCTCTGGAGAAGGGAGATGCTCAAAGCTCTTTCTTAACTAATCAGTGCCTGAATTTTGATGATGTGTTTTTTTTACACATTCATCCCAGCTTGGTTGTCCAAAATTCTCCATAAAAAATGGAAAAAGTCCTCTTTTTAAGAGGAATTTTCAAAGATCCATGTGATTGTAAGGTACTGTGCAAACTCTCACTTTCCCTGTAATTGAGCACCTGCGGTGTTGATTTTACAATTTCACAGCCTTAGTGGAGATGCTAACTTAAATTCTCACCCCAGTGTTTGCTCCCTAACTGCTTGGTAATTTGTTATTCCATCAGTTGCGACTACTGACCTGTTTTTAGGACCACACTGTCAGTGGGATAGCAGGAATAATTGGAGATAAAAATAACCTTTTTTGGAGTAAGGACTGCTTTTAGTCCAGATTGAGTTTACAAGGCCCCCACAAATGTTTATGTCAGAAGAAGTGACAGGACCAACAGAAGTAGGAGCAAACAGTTGGGGTGAGGTATGTGAAATGACAGGGGCTTCTTAGGCCATCGTCAATATGCAGCTCTGTACACAGGCGAACTGCAGCCTCGCTGCCCATAGAGCCTTTGAAAGCCCCAGCCAGAATGTGTTAGATTGGGATGAAGTTCTTTGTTGTCTTTTACCTGATGCTTCAGTTTCTTTGTTCTAGGTGAGGAAGTAAAAAACCCTCAGAAGGCCATTCCCATTGGCATTGTGGCATCTCTGCTCATCTGCTTTATTGCCTATTTTGGTGTGTCAGCTGCCCTCACACTCATGATGCCTTACTATCAGCTGGATACCAATAGCCCTTTACCCAATGCCTTTAAACATGTAGGTTGGGATGGAGCCAATTACGCGGTGGCTGTTGGTTCGTTGTGTGCACTTTCTACAAGGTAAGACATTCCTCTTTTTGTATATCTCTCAAGGCAAATGCATATCTCCAGCTCCTTTTTAAAATGGCACGTGTCAGGGCTCTGTTCTCGCCCAGCTTCCCTTCGTTCATGTCTCCAGCTCTGTGTTGCATTATTAGCAGCAGAACTGAGTCCAGGGATGAAATTCTGACCTGTTGACTTTGGAAGGGTTTCATCCTGTGATAGATCACAGAGGTGTGCACGGCCAATATCACTTCAGAAACTCCTATCTTAGCAGCAAACCAAGCAGGTGCATCTCTTGAATATAAGTCTGAGTTCAGTGACCAAGTCATGGAGGCAGCTACAGAGCGCAAGCACAGTGTGCCTGCAAGACATCCTGGCCTGCGGGGTGGAAAGCAGACCTGTGTTACTGCAGGGTGTATCTTCTGGAGCATAAGGGGATTACCATATCCAGGGTAGGCTTTCTGCAGGTTGCCTGCATGACAGCCATCTGGATGGGAGGCAGGGCAGGCTGCGGGCAGAATGTACATGTTCTCTTGTACTCTTGAGAGCTGTTACTTCAGAACATCTCAGACCTATTTAATTAGGTGAACAGCTCATAGAGGCTCATAAAGGTTATGGTTATTTTGCCACCTGAAAGTCAGGCTGTTTCCATGCCCCATGGATGGGTTTAGATATCCAAAATTACAAACCTGCACCTCAGTTGTCAGCTATCAGCAGCATGGGTGTTTATAGGGAGTGCTTGAAGGAGAAGCTGAAGTGAGTGAAAGCCACCTGTTCTATGTTTGTACTGCCATGAACATGCTTTCTTTTGTGTGCCTGAGCTCAGCATGAGGCAATGTGAGTAGATTTTTTCTCCCTCTGTGTCCTTAGTCTCCTTGGCTCCATGTTTCCAATGCCTCGAATAATCTATGCTATGGCAGAAGACGGTCTTCTCTTTAAATTTTTGGCTAAAGTCAATGAGAAGAGAAAAACTCCAATAATTGCAACAGTGACATCAGGGGCCATTGCAGGTAAGATCCAAAAGACATACATGAATGAGTAGAAAGGAAACATAAGCTTGTCACAGGGGCAGATAAGTCTGCCTTATTCTAGCCCACTTATTAAACTGCTGTACTGCACAGCATGACTTCCCGGAAAATGTCTTGGCTGTCCTAGGCCTGCGAGTGCAGGGCCTGGGTGAGCATGAATAACTGTTGGTGTATCCATACCTCCTTCTCAGAGCCTATTGCTGACATTCGGTCTCATACCAAGAGCTGCCTTCATCCACTCCTTGTGTGCACTGCTGACTTTAAAAATAATTAACCCCCTGCAGCTGGCAGCCAGCTGTGCCCCAGGATCCTCGGGGCTGTTGGTCTGGCTTGGCTGAAGACACCCTGTACAGCCTCTAGGTAGTTGCTTGGCAGAAGAAGAACAGCTGGAGGCAGGCAGACGGGCCCTGTGGCATAGGCATCTGTTAATCAGTTAGCCACAGCTGGTAGTATTCCTGTCTTCCCCTTCCCTCTCACGCTCCACAAAGATATGGGAATTAAGCCTATCACATAACGAAGAAGAGCAGCTTACCTTCTCCTCACAGCCACCCCCTTCCTTCAAGTAATTAGCAAGCAGAACAGTAGTGCTGCTTTCTGTTTTACTGCTTCAAATCCGAGATAAGCCACTGCTATAAGGACATGCCACATTTGAGGAGCGCTTGCAAGACTGTCATGTTGGGCTCTAAGCTCTTGCAAAACATTTCAGCCTCCTGCAGGGGAAGCCTTGGCCCTACTAAGTTTTATACAACTACTTCTCCGACACCTCTCCTCTTCAGGAGGCCTTGAATCAAAACTGGGGAATAAAGAACCAGATAGAGTAAAAAACTTAGTTTGCAGTCACTTCAGATCACCTCAGAGCGGTCTGTAGAGCATAGGACCAAAGCGTGTTGTTGCAGGCCTGGGAAGCACTTGGCAGTTGGCCTTAAATGTTGTTTTGGTGTTGGTTCAAGGCAGTGCATTAAGGAGAGAGTGGGTCAGGCTTTGAAATTCGTGCCCTCTAATATGACCAACGGTGTCACAGTGTTAAGTTACCTGAATTTCAGACTATAGTGTCTGTTCTCTGTTGACTTATTTTTTTTTTTCTAAAGACCTTTTTCAAAGATCTATATAATAAACAGACAGTTGCCTAGTGAGGGTGTTAAAGCATGGTAATCTATAAGGGAAAGTAGTCTATACCTTCATTTGGAAAGCCCCATCAAGAGGCATGTTCCCTCAGGATGCCCTTGATGTCCCCCTTGTGTGAACAAGCCTGAATTCATCCCAGCTGAACTGAGACACCAGGGTGAGGTGCCTGCCTGTCATATGTGCTTGCTATAGTTTGTGCAGGGCTGAATGGGCACTTCCAGGAGATAATTCTGGTCTAAGGGGTGCTGCAGAGGGAGGCTCAGGCAGTGAGGCTTCAGCTTAAATGCCAGTTAATTGCCAATAGTTAGGTGAGATGAGTATAGCCCCAGCCTGGCTTCTGTAATGGGCATGTTATGGGATGCGCCTGTTTCAGCACACCTGTTTAAGAAAAACAATCTGTCTTTTACTGTAATAAATGCTTCCTTTGGTTTCAGTTGGTGCGACTATGCTGTGACAGCCTGTGAGGCTCGGAGCATGACAGGGCCATTGGTATTCAAGCACTGAGTCATGCTTTACGGAATGGCTCAAGATCCTTGCTGAATTTTGAGCAACAGTCACACTTGTGCTGCATTGTCTTTAACAGTCTTGAAATATGAATGTTCCACAGTGTTACTGATTTTTTCTTCCCTCTCTCGCCTTCTTCTCCTTCCACAGCTGTCATGGCCTTTCTCTTCGACTTGAAAGATCTTGTGGATCTCATGTCTATTGGGACTCTCCTGGCTTATTCCTTGGTGGCAGCCTGCGTATTGGTATTGAGGTATGGATAAAGAAGCAGGCCCCTCTTTTACCACATAGACAAAAATCCACACAAGGCAGTCAGATGCCCTCATAGTTTCTGTAGACCCAGTAAAACTGTGAACACCTCCAGCTAAAGCATGTGGAGGGCTTGTTTCTTTAACTTCGTGGAGAAATGTGCCGATCGGATCTGTGAGGGTGTCCTCTTAACTTGGCTTTCCCTTGGTCCACCTCTGCAGTGGTCAGATCTTGAGTCTCCTAGGAGATGTACCTGTGGGTAGTGGTGAGAGATGGGTGCTCTGGGTGCCTGCATCATCATTGCCCTTGATCCACACTGGGGCTACAGTGTCAAGCTGTACTGTGTTTTGAAAGGGGAGTCGAGGAAAAAGGCTGGTGAGGGATATTTCTTTCCGTACAGTCTTGCTATGAAAGCAAAGGGAAAAAGCTGTAGTGAGCAGCAGGGTAGAGGGTCCTCAAAGGCCTGGCTGCTTCTAGACGCTCAAAGAACAGACCCTGCTCACGGTTAAACCTGTAGGAGTTCCCCTTTCCTGGATCTTTCTTGTGAGAAGGTGTGAGTGTGACCTCAGTACTGGAGCAATATCAGACTGTATGGTTTTTGAGTTTGCCTTTGTCCTGCTCAGTTCTGCGTCCTAGAGAAAGTTGGCAAGGGCCCCCCTTGCGCACAGGCCCACTGTGTCTCAGGAAGTAAGGTAATAGTAACAAAGTCTAGCAGCAGTAGGAAAGTTGAGTGTATGTTTGCAGGATCAGTGCCTTAGTGTATGTCTTCTAGAAGTGCTGAACTCCCTTCAAGCTGAAAATTGAGTCTCTTAATGGCTTGGCACCTCATGGGCAACAGTACTCTACCCACGAACACTGGATTTTGAAGATTATGCTAGTGAAGAATACCTTTACATGTTCAATGAGTTATTCAAAGCCTGGTGGAGACCTTTTACCTGCTCGCAGCAAATGCATGGAACTAAAAACTGTCTGTCAGCTGGTAGAGGGCCTACTGTAATTCCTTTGCTCTGTGCCTGTGTTGTCCATCCTGCCTCACTGCACAGAGCTTGAGGATTTTCCTTGCCCTTGTTACATTTTGTGTGGTTTCCCAGCCCCTGCTTCTCCGTATAACTGTAAATGGCTTCCTAATTTGTTTTTGCAAGCTGTTGTGCCTATCATGTGGTATGTGATGGATTAGTCACCAGGGCTCAGCCTTCTGCCTGCCACAGGTTTCTGTATGAGACAGCTTGCCTCATAGTGGCCAGGACAGCTAATTTGCCTTCCCAGTTGGCTGCTTGATGAAATAGCTGTGTAACTGTTGCCTAAGCTGCTAGGTGCTGTCACTAACACCCTGCTGTGGCTGCACCAAAGATTTCACAACATTTCACAATTCACAACATTTCACAAATGCCCTTGTTGCAAATGCATCCCTTCAGGAGGGATTTTAAGGGATCTTTTGTAGCGACCCTTTCCTTTCCTCAAGCTTGTGGCAGAGATCCACAAAAAAAACCTCCTGTAAAAGGGATTTAAGGTTGGAAGAGTGTTTTTTCTTTACGAATCTATCTGTTTGTGCATCGGGGTCCTCTTGAATGAGATGGTGTCTACACATGCAACAAAAAAATTGCAGTTCTTGCTTCACCTCTTCCCAATGTGGCAGCAGACAAACTAATAGAAGAAACTAGAGTAGGCACCAGGAATAGCACTTTGTGGTGTGATCAGCAGCTGCCAGGGTGTGATATCCGCTGAGCTGTTAGTTCAACCGCCTTTTTAACTCCAAAACACAGTAGCTGAACTACCAGAGATAAAGAAACAGCCTGAGAAGGACCACCCCCCTGCCATATTCTTCTCCAGTCCTTGCTACTGTCATCCAACCATGTGTTGGTGATATCAGTGATACGGTTTATGAAAGAGTAGGTTGTCTCACTTAAAACAGTTATGAAATTACAGCCAAGTTCTAGGTGACAATAGTGGACTGCATTTGCTCACAGAATGGCTACAGTATTCCTCACATTTTCCCCTGAAACAGAAGGGTGCAGACATATTGTGTGTGTGCCTATTCTGAAACTGTAGTGATCTGGGGATCAGTCATGGTTATCCGTATGTCTTTTAAATGAGCAGTACCCTGTGCCAGGACAACAGCCTCTTTGTTTCATTTCCTTTTTCCTAGGTATCAGCCAGAGCAGCCTAATTTGGCATACCAGATGGCTAGAACAACAGAGGAGACAGATAACAATGAGTCTGTGAGCACCAGTGAATCTCAGGCTGGATTTCTGCCGGAGGAAGAGGAGAAATGTTCCCTCAAAGCCATACTGTGTCCCCCAAACTCAGACCCTTCTAAATTCTCTGGCTCTGTGGTGAATATCTCAACCTTCATCATTGGTAAGCACTAGGCAGTACAGCTCTGGGGCAGTGAACCAGCTAGTAGGCCCTTGGACTCACTGTTATGGGACAGCTCACTTCCTGGTTTGTTACTGGTTATTTGTAAGTTTGAAGAACTCTTGTAAGGGCCAAGGTAACAAAAGATCTAACACTGAATTTCTGACTTGAAAAGAAGTGCATAGATGGGGGTGTGTGACTGTATGGGAAGAAGGGCGTATCTCTTCCAGTTAGCTTTTCTTTGTTTGCTATTTGTTTGCTGAGCTTTCAGATTTTGCTTTGCCTACTTGTGGTTTGGGTTTTTTTTCCTCAACCTAAAAAAAGAATCAGTAAGTTTTGGTGTCCGTTTACAGGTTTCCTTATCGTGGGTAGCTGTATCTTGACTGCCCTTGAGCCAAGCGTTCTGATAAAGACTGTATGGATTATCGCTGCAATCCTTGTTCTTATTGTCAGCTTCATTATATGGAAACAACCTGAAAGCAAAACCAAGCTCTCCTTTAAGGTGAGTGTCCTCGGAGTTGTAGCTAGAAGATTGCTGTTTGGGAGCTGGTTGGAGGAGGAAATGCACGTTGGCCTCTATCCGAAAGAGGGACTTGGCCAAGTGGACACGCTGAGAATATGAGTCTGACTCTGTGTGGATCTGCCAATGTTTCTGGTGGTTTGAGCTCTCCAGCTAGCATGGCTGCAATCTCTCAGAGTCTGTGCTTGTGACATAAAGGGATGTCCTATCAGAGCCAAGCTGATTCTCCGACTGTGTTTTCCTCTTGGGGTCTCACCTCAAACGTCAGTGGTGAGTAGTACTTGAGAGGGAGAGAGACCTTCTGCTCTCTTTGCTTCGCTGCAAAGTGTAGCACAGCATAAGAAGCGCTGTGGCATGCAGTGCCCCATGGGCAGATGTGGTGCAGCAGGAGAGACTGAAGGGGTTAGCTGAGAGATTGGCTTGGAACTAGGAGGGAAAACCATGTGACGTCAGAGGACTTGGAGAGAGAGGAGCACTGAAATGTAAATGGCACTTAAATGCATCAGAAGCTGGGAGACGGATGTGGCCAAGGTAGAAGGGCAGAACAGTGCTTTTGAAAGCAGCTAGTTCTAGGACATGGAGGAGAGAGAGAGAGTAGAGGAAAAGAGGTTGCTTTTCCACAGACGAAGAAGGGCCGTGCCAGATCATGCCAGATCATCTTCTCAAAAGACGAGAGAATCAAAGAAGCAAGCTTGTGCGTTACCATCAAAGGGGTTACCAGCTCAAAGGCGCCATGTAATTCATCCACCAGCTCTAGTGTCTAGATGGACTATACTTGGATCATTCTGAAAGGATTGTTTAATTTCTTCTTTAAAACCTCTAATAGCAGATATACCAGTGCTTCCCCCTTTCACATTTCCAGTGCATCTTGTCTATATAGCTAGCAAGCTTTTCCCAGCAGCTAAATAGTCTAAATTTCTGTGATGCACGTTTAGCTGATATTTTCATGTCCTACTGTTAGCTATGGAACAAGGGATGACTGTTCTCTCTTTAATAGCCTTCAGGTATGAAGAACTTTATCTTTTCCTCCTCTGTTGCAGCATACCATTGTTTTCATATTGAACAAACACATTTTTTTCAGTATAATCCAGCAAGTCTTGTTTTATCATATTGATTTCAGATTGTTTTTCCAATTTATCAAGATCATTTTGAATTCTAATACTATGCTTCAAAGTTTTCTGAGCATTTTGACTGCTCTTCAATTAGTTTTTCTGCAAATACTTCAATTTTAATTCAACCAGAGTTTCTCAGATTAGTGTTTGCAGCCCATCTTGGGCTTATAGTCCCAGAAGTGGAAACAGAACTAACTGGCCAGGAGCAGAAAATTCAGGAGGAGTCATCAGGACTGTATTTTCTGAACTTTCTTCTGAGGAGATCTCTTTGCCATAGAGGCAGGATATTTTACCTCCTTTTTGTCCTTCAACCACTACCCCGTTAAAGAAGAAAAAATCAGACCTGTCACTGGTGAATCTACAGTGGCTGTTTCTTATATCCTTGTTGTCCTTTAGACATTTACAGCCTGACTGTTTAGTAATTTTTTTTTAAACTCTCTCTGGGAATCTAAGGCTGACTGGTTTGTTCCCTAGTTGTTTTTCTGTATTTCTTTTTAGTAGGTAATTTGTCTCCTTTCTCTAGTACGTGGAGACCTTACCGGCCTACCAGAAGCTCTGAGAGATGCTTGTAATTGGTCCAAAGATTAATTCTGCAATCTCTAGCTATATACCTCACCCCCCTAGGGAAATTTCATTTGTCCCTATGGACTTGACAGAGTTTAATTTAGGAAAATATTCTTCCGTTTGCTAGTCCGCGTGGCAATCCTCTTCTCTAAGGATGGTTGTATTGAGCAACTGGCCACCACAAACGTGTTTTGTGAAGCTTAAACTAAAACAAGCTTACAATATTTCAGACTGTTTCTTTTTGTAAATCCTCTTTTCCCTATGAGTGAAGGGAATTTCCTTCATTTTCCTTAGTTTCACCATATTCACAGACCTTTCTATTATTGCCTAGTTCTGCCTAGTTACAATTTGTCATTTCTCATTTTGTCTCTACATGCCTGTGCTACTTTTTATGCTCTGATTTTTGCATTTAGGCTTTATTGAATCACTTGTTTGATTCTCATATCACTAAAGTACTCTTGATACTGCTGCACTGGTCTCTTACTATGTTTCCTGTATGTTTTCTATATTTGCTGTACCTCTGGGATAATTTTCAGTTGTACTTTTACTTCTGTCTATTCCAATTCTGAACTCCTTTGTGTGTTAGAATTGCTGCTATAGCCTTTACCTACTAATACCCTGAATTTGTTGGCATCTGCAGAGTGCTTTAAGTTGATCATTCTGCTGTACTCATTTCTCTGCTTCTCTGGAGTGGTGGAGGGTAGTGTTTTGTGATGATTTCCTCCAAATTGCCTTTTGCCTTCAGATCCCCAACTATTTTTTCCCTACTAAATAGAACTGAAGCTAAAATAGCAGCCCCTTGAGTTACGTTTTGCAGCTCATGAAATAAAAAAGGTACCCCACACAATCTAGTAGTAATTTGCTGGATGGTCTGTGTATCGCTTAATTAGCTTGGTACTTGCTGGATGAATTTCCTCACGTCCTTCCTTCTCACAGTCCTCTTACCCTCTTCTGTTCCTTGATAGGTGCCGGTCATTATGTTGTGCTTGGTTTTCCTCTTCTCTCCTTCCCCCCACAGAGTTCCAGGTAAAGTTTGCCTGTTGCCTCCTTTCAGACCACAGAACAGGCAGAACCGTTCTTAAAATGGAGTACAGCAGGCTGTTTTCACATCAGTCTCGCATCCTGCATTTTGATCTAACCTTGCCTTTTCTAGGATCTGGCAGCCAAAGAGTTGTTAACAGGCATCACTTTTTGTTTACAAGGGAAGTGATGTTCTTGCCTGTCTATTAATCTGTCTTACAGATGTACTTTATCACTCTTTCTTTTTCAGGTACCTCTTTTGCCTCTTCTTCCTATTGTGAGTATTTTTGTGAATGTTTACCTCATGATGCAACTAGATATAGGGACATGGATACGATTTGCAGTCTGGATGCTTATTGGTGAGTTTAAAAGAGAAAAAAACCATCTATATTCAAAGTTACTTGAGTCTGTTAACCACAGATTTACTGTAGCATTCCAGGGAGGGATTCTGCACTCTCATCATCCTGAGGTAATCATTTTGCCTTCATTGAAGCCGTTCAGGCAGTGCATTTCAAGCTTTGTTTTAAGTGTAAGGGTCATGAAACCTTTTATGAGGACAAAGCTACCCATGAACCATCTCGTGCACTGTTCCCATAATGACTTCCTTTGCAGCTATATACAAATGAAGCAAATGTTACCCCTTTTCACCATTTTGTTAGTTTACTCATCTATATCCCTGAAAACAAGTGTGTGTGGGAGGAGGAAGATCGTAACCACTATGTGGCATGGAACTGTGATTGCCTGATCACTTTTTGGTGATCTGTAAGGTTTCAGGGGCTTTGTCAGGACACTTTTTTGTAGCTTCTATTTTTAACGGTTGAGAAACTTGGAGGATCAAAGAGATAAGAATCTGGGGTGGCTGCCTGAAGCAAATGCCTGTTTCTTTGCTCTGAACCTGGTCAAGGCAAACTCCAGGTAGCTTCCTTTTTGCCCATGATCCATTCTTATAGTAGTCCCCTTCCCTTCCTCGTTCCAATAAATTTACCTGTGAACGTTAACACTTTCCCAAGGTGTCTTGGTCTGACGACATCCCTAGGATAAAACATTGCCTTATGCAATGGCAGACAAAGATTCACCCAAAACTCAAATCTACTGTGTAAACCTCCTGACTTGCCAGGACATTTTTCTCTTTAACTTATAAAATCTTCGATGTACTTAATTTCAAGTGGATATCAAAACCTGGCAATCTGAAGTAGGAGACACATACGTGTCATTCTGAGAGAAATCTATATTAAAAGGCAGAGCAATAGAATGGCTGTAAGCCAACAAGCAGAATATGCAAATGAATAGTCTTTGGGTTTGGGCTTTTATTTTTTTTTTTCACTGCCAGTTTTATCATCTGGATTAAAATCTAGATTATACTCTTCCTGATGGACAGCATCTGAGTTCTGGGAAGAAGTAGTAAGGAAGTGTGTATGTGTATGTGTGTGTTTAACCACATAAATGTGTGTGTCTGTAGTGCTTTGTTTCCGTAGTGGAATGAGAACTGCTTACTCATTGCGCAAGGGGCTGTACAGCCCTTTCCTTGTTTGCTGAACTTGAACTGCACTCCAAGTGGTATGGCTGGTGCTTTTGGAACTGGAGGAGCTGAGCTCTGTCCCAGGATGTTCCAAGTAGCTTTATGGAGAGGGCTGCATTTGTTATGGTAAAAATGATTATAGAAGATTAGGATCAGTTATGGACGTTTTTTACTGCAACAGAGACTGTCAGCACACACATGGAGAGAGAAGGCTCTGCACAGAAAGCAAAGCGTTGGATGGACTCATTCAAAAGCATGAGAAGTTTATTCTGTAGTCAGCCTTGGTTTATCTTCTATGTTTGGGGCGGGTCTAGATCATCTTTTAAAGAATGATGTCTTGTGTTAATGGCTTTTTTCTTTTCTGAGGAAGATGGTAGGTGTCTGCTGCAAGCTAGCTATCTGGATGGCTTGATTTACCTCTGCTGTAACCTGTATCTATAGATGTAAATAGTGGTTTCTGTTTCCTTATAGATCTAACATTGCTCTTTCTCCTTGGCTTCCGCAGGCTTTATCATCTACTTTACCTATGGAATATGGCACAGTGTGGAAGCCACATATTCGGCCTCAGCAGACACAGAGAGAAATACGGACGCTGGTTCAGACAACTGCAAATGACTGCCTGTTTGGCTTAAGGGCGACTGGGGAATTGCTGCAGTGAAGGAAGCTTTGTGTGGGGAACCTGAAGTGTTTCATCTGGTTAATCACTAATGCAGAAATAATGAAGCAGAAGGTGGGAATCCCCAGCCCTGTTGCTACAGCTTGCAGTTTGCTTAGTAGCACAGTTAAAAGGGATGACAAGGAAAAAGCCACACCTCTGGCATACTCCCGTCAACACTGTCAGCTATTCTGGGGCTATGCGCTTCCCTTCCTCCCTCTCTTGTTTTTTTGCAACGTGTAGAAAGAAAACTGCTTCTGTGTGCCAGTTAACCTTAAATGCTGCTATGAAACCAGGCCTCACAGAGGTCTTTCTTTCAGTAGCCCTGTGAATTACCTCCCCACAGATACTCTACTTGATTATAAATGGAGCGGCTCTTGCAATGCTAGCGTTGTGCTTAGATCAGATTGTCACTTCACCCGATGTGAGCTGTACCACATGTGTACACACAAAAAAGGCTCTCACCAAACATACGCTTTCACCCAGTTAAGAAAGCACCTGCAAGATTTACATTCTTTAAAGTATCAGGTTTCATGATTTTATTGTATTTAACTTTTTAAAACTAACTAAGTATTCATATTCCTTATAGTGCACCGCCGCTGTGTAATGTTGGGAGGGTTTATGGTCGCTGCTTGTCAGGTGAATGGCTATTTGCATACGTGCAGATAATGCAGAATGGTGTTTCTGCTAACTCCACACCCAGCAGAGGGGTTTCCAGGTTTACTTGAATGGTTTTAATAGAACGGGTGTCTCCAAAAGAGCCTTGCTACCTCTTCATGTTAAAAAGTATCAATACCACGACTGAAATGGTGGGGTGGATAGCAGAAGTGCTTTTGAACCCAGGTCTGAAAACAAGTGGGGCCCTATTTTCCTCTCCGTGCATCAGTTTTATTAGAAGTCAGTAGAATTGCCACCGGTGCAGGCTGCTTGAAATAAGAAGAAATTTGGCCTTAAGAATTTGGTTTGACATCAGTAGGTGAATAATATTTCTGCCCCTAGAAAGAGATGTACAGTCAGATTCTTAGGGTCCTTGAAATCCTCTTGTGAACAGCATCCTAGAGTCTCTCAACTTCTAACCCCTCTCCCAGATGAAGGGCATGAGGGTATACAGTGACTCCTTCCCAGTGATGCCAGTAGAGTGTGTAACCTCCTGCTCCCTAAAACAAACACTGCTAAAGTCTGGCTTGCTGAGGCAAGTTTTTTTTTGTGGCACTGCAGATCATCTCTGGAAACAGGTTACTGACTTTGTCTGTGATCTTATTTGGAGCTTGGGCCTCAGTGGGGGCTGAGCTCCCTGGTCTGTCTACTTTCTACCCACAAAGGTCAATAAAATGTGCTCAAGTACGAGGCATGTGATACTGTGTGGGGCTGAGGGGTGCTCTACTCTTTTGGGACGAGATCCTCTTGGGCCATGCTAAGGCACTGTGCTGTGGCTAGGCTTGCCACTTGGTTATGCTCCAGAGCTTGGCTGTCGTGAAAGGTGGAAAACTCAGAGCATGAGGCCAGGGTCCATGTTCAGTCAGCAGTGCAGATGTAGCCTTGATTTTGTTACAAGGTGAAAGGCTTTTTAATTCTCTCTAATGTCCTTCCCCAGCCAAATACGCAACTCTAAAACAGGCTTTTTGAAGCATCACAGTGGTGGGTTATACCCATGTAATGTCACAGTTTTATGTTCATGCTTTAACTTGTACTGAAAAACATATCCCAAACATGTATTGCAGAAATTCCCTTTCCCTACCTAAGTGGATTCTGTCTGTCCTAGGTGTCCTCCATACTACTGCCTCTGAATACCTGGCAGTCTTTACTGTGTTTTGTCAGCACAGCTCTCCTCTGAAGAAGGGAAGCGCTCTTCTCCCCATCACACAGATGGAGAGCTGCAGAGTAGACTCCTAAATGACTTGGCCAAGGTCTTGCAGGGGATCTAGCACAACAGAAACAGGAACCAGATGTCCTAGATTCCGTGGCCTCACCTTGGACCATCTCTCTTGCAGGTTTCCAAGAGACACTTACAGTCCTGCTACCCACTGATGATGCTGGCCTTTTTTTTTAAGTAAACTTGGAGGCTTTTCTTCCCAGGGTTGGCATTTGATGGAATTAAAGTAATGTGTGCATTGCTTTGTGTGTGCATTTCCAGTGCATTGTTTTACTGCTTCCATATGCGACAGGAAAAGTCATGGTCTGTTCCAAACATTGGGTCTTGACTGTCTGCCAAGCCTTTTTCCCCTTTGCCTATATGAAGTCTTATTCAAGCAGGGAGAGAATATCAAAATTGAAACGCGCTAGGTTGACGTCTACTTTTTTAAACACAGACAAACTCATCACACTCCATCGCCTCCTGAAAAGCACTGAAGATTTGGTGGGAGGGGAGAGCATAAAAACTCAAAAGGGAACTTTCCAATTGTACCAAAAATGTAGGGATGTTTTTCTCCACCTTGGGTATCAGCTTCTGAGCAATTACCAAATTTAGCATGAAGATTTGAAAGGGGTGAATTCTGACTGGAAGTGTGTTTCCAAAGAAAATTATTTAAAAATATGCAGATTTCTTGCTGTATGTAATCTTTTTTATAAATGTTAAATTATTTTTGTTGTCTACTTAGGGATCTGTTCTGGTGTTTATCTTCCATGATTTTATTTCAGCTTCTGTGGCATTTAATTGCAGCACTTAGAAGAAAGGGAGTCTTGATGGGGATCATTTTCCTTCAGTTTCCTTTTCTCTGAGAAAGTTCATAGGAAAATCTTTCATTTTCACCAAATTTTATATTTAAATGTACCCTTACCTGTACCAATCCCAAAGCTACCAGCTGCAAATTTACTATTGAGGTCAAGGCTCTTTAACCCCATTTCCCACCCCTCCATCATGACTTCCACAACCTTATTGCTTGTCTCCTCACCAGATACAAGGAGCTAGAGAGAGTTCACAACCCTATGCCGTGACAGGGAAGTACAGATCTCTCCCTGGCTCTCTGTGTACCTGCTTCCCCCTTACCGAGCTGGCTCTGGGGACATCCTGTCCTCCTCTTCATGTGACTTGCGCCGAGGCGGAGAAGACGTGTGTGACACAACTGCAGCCCCAGGCTCCTTCCCCATCCTCCCCATGGCTGCATCTGCCCCTTGCTTGTACATTTTGTAAGCTGAAAGGCAGAATTTGACCACCTCTTTCTAGGATCATGTCAAGGACTTTGCTGAATGGGTGATTTTTTTTTTACTGTCTCCTTTGCCTCCCTGCTGATGTCTGCATGTGGCATATAGATAAAGCCAGGTATCTTTGAACACATGCAAGTGCTGCTATAATCTGCTTTTGTGAACAATATGCCTTCATTCATTTGAACTTTTCTTTGTAAATAGTTTCATAATTATTTTGCTTTATTATTCTAAGAATATTTTGTACAGATGCAGAGCATTTCACTATGTAAAGAGGTGGGAATAGGGAAGCGATGCCTTTTCTGGGATGCTTAGTGCAAGAATATATCCCTCTGTCAGAGCTGAGAGATGTAACAAAAATGGCCTATCTGATCTTTTAAGGCAGGTTCTGGCATGAAGGACTGACCTCAATTTTACTGAATTTGGTTGCTTCCAGTGTGCTAACATGAAAGGAGGCCTTGAGGGCAGGTCTCTGTAGGCAGGGTCCTAACGATTGGCAGTGCCTTGCAGGTGGTGGTGGGCAGTCAGGCGTCTGGGTGAGCTTCCTCCCTGCAGCAGGCGGTACCGTAGCAGATTGGTAATATGTAGCCTGTCAGCTTTTCTCAGAGGACAATTGTTGTCAAAGTAGCCTCTTCTTTTTACCCTGAAGTAATAGTTTTGCGTAAAAATTATTAGCTTTTATTTGTTTACAACTTCTGTTTTTTGAAACCGGTTGCTGAAAATCATTACCAGCTGGGTTTCGTTTTCATTTTGCCTTTTTGTCGCCCCACGGGATGGCACTCTCTTCCTGTTCCAGCACCAAACTATTCTGTGCTCGGCATTTGCCATCCTCCTTGGTTCCTCCTTGCTTTCCTGGGGTGTCGAAAGCAGGTGGCGTTGGGCTGCCCTCCTGGTAGCCAGCCCTGTCCCCCAGCACTGCAGGCAACCCCGAGCACGGGGCTCAGAGCCTGCTGAGGGGCTGCCAGCTTAGACATTTCCCATCGGTCACACCAGGGGAGAGAGCGCTGCACAGGGCTGAACGTCTCGCGAAAACACTGTCGATACTTAAAACATGATGCCACGCATGGCAGAAGTGCTCTGTAGTTCTGGTTAGTGTTTATATTGTAGCCAGGGTTTTGGAAGGGTGAAGTTTCCACTGGCAGTGCTTTCTGTTAGCACTTCTGCCCTTTGCCCAACGCAGATGAAAACAAACCTTTATTCATAGTGTACAGAGGGTGCCTATCGCTGGCTGCTTCACACATGTAGGGAGCTAACTTCTTTCCTTTCCTCCCAACTCAGAGAACAGAAAGCAATATTGCAGAATATTATGTCTGTATTTTGTAAAATCATCTTCTTTAGTGACTGTATTTTATGTATTAATCAATTCCAGTGGGATTTGTTAAATTCCTGATAGAAGAACTTCTACCCCGCAAAAAACACTTACAAATGAACATTGTTATCATCTTTCCAAATGAATAAACAATCATGCTGGTCTTTCAGGCTTCGGGAACTTGTTTTGAAGGGAGGAGGGGGTGAGTAATGCTGTTTTTGTAGCAGGAGGTTGCTCTGCAGTCCCTTCCCTGCACGCATTGCATCTCGACACTGCTGCCTTTTAAAGAGTTCTTGTTGCCTCTTGTACAAAACGCATCCCGGTTTCTTAATCCTTGGATACTCTTCCAACACTAAGAGCTTGTCTGCTGGATGTGAGTTTATGGAGAGGTCCCATTTCTTTATTCCACTGACGCCAGAGCTGCCTCGTGGGTGCGGCGGGCTTCCTTTGTGCACCACTGTGCCCTAGCGGGGCGTCCCCAGCAGGGCTTGCTTGTGCCCGCAGCTGGGCCCTCAACAGAAAGTCCCCAGGTAGGACTTACGCCTTACGTGAGGGACCAGCATGCGTGCAAGGGTGATGCCTGTCCTAGCCACGGGGGAGACTTCAGCCTGTGTTCACCAGTCCTCCTCATGCCGCCTCTAGCTCTGCTGGCAGGGAGCTGGGTGCAGATGGGCGCTCCCATGCAGGAGCGCTTGGACAAAGCCTGCTTCACCCCTGGCAAGGCAGAATGGCACTTAAATACTGCATACTTGTGTGCGTTGTTTATGTAACACGAATCTACTGATTTGAGCTTGAGATGGAGGGTGGGTGAACCAAGAGCTCTCCATGAGGTTAGGGTGGAGTCAGTTTTACCAAGATGACGAAGTTTTTAATGAAATGTTAATGACCAGGTGGTGGTTTGCACAGTATTTGAGGCCTGATGAGGATTTGAAGGTCAATGGCTGTTGGCATTACTCTCATTTTCAGCCTCCTAGAGGGAGGGAGACCGTCATTGCTGTTGTGATGGAGGAGGGCTCAGAGCCTGTTTCGTGGGCGAATGTGTCAGGGAATGCTTCCAGGCCTCTGTTTGCCAAGGAGCATGTAAAAAGCAATCGTGTCCAGAGCTGTTTGCGCTCAGCCCCCCTGCCCGTGCAGAGCTGATTGTACTATAATGAACATACTGTGCGATGTCTGACACCTAACTGGAAAGCAGATGATCCAAGAACATGTTTGTTACCCAGATCCAAACCTCAGTCTTTCTCAGGGTATTTGCTCCTAGCTCATGCTCCAGGAAATGAGGTTAGTCTAAGACATGGCACACTTCTAATCAGCGAGGCATCTTTTTCTCTCGAGGACATGCAGTGTGTTTTTTTGGCATAGGAGCTTCTGCTTTCGAGATGAAGGGACGGCTGTGACCTGTGTGAAGTGAAGGGTTACCTTGCTTTATGTTGTGCCTTTCAACTTCAGTTGATGTGAGGAGCACAAAGACTGATGACAACCTAGAGTTGGTGCGTTAGCAAACCTATTGTGAGTTTGGATCATTTCTTCAGCAAAATAAAGTAAAGTAAAAGATTTTTACTGACTGAAGCCATGGAAGAGTCTGTATATTTTTTATTTTTTAATTATTAAGTAAAATGTATATACCTTTCTGTTGTCTGATGGTCTATTTTCCTAATGATTTCTCAGAATTTCTTACACGTGTGATAAATAGTTTTAATGCTTGTTCTGCAGAGAAATCTATTTTTTAATCTTTTTTTATCCTTTTTTTGGTCTTTATTTTGGTTTTATTTTTTCTACTGTTTTCATGTAGCGATGCAAGCCTTAAGTTTTAGAATGTGAAACTTTTAAAGCACAGCATGGGTGTGCAGATACTTTTTATCCTGGCGACACTGCAAATACTTCTCCCCTCATCTATGCTTTTTGAATTTGGAAATTCAGTTGTAATTTTATGGTACAGCATTAAAACATTTTCTCAATACTCAAATAAATTATGCCCGTTGTTTACCCTCATTTTCTGGCCTGCCTCTGTTTTCCAACTTGTTTCAACATCTGCCAGCTGTCCCAGCCTTTATAGGGGAGCAGCTTCTCTGGGGAGCTGTTCAATCCTGTGTCATTAACGCCTTCCTCCTTTCAGATTTTTTGAGACAGATGAGAAGATACAAAATTTGTGAAATGTGGCCTGGGCTGGGGTCTGTAGCAGTTTATGTGGGACTTCAGGAGCCTGCAAAGTTACCCCAGTGGTCAGAATTTACCCCAGTGATGGGCTGCAGTTACTGCAGTGACAGAATAAGACTGTAGCAATATCTGTGGATAGGGCTTTTTAAAATCAGTCTGATCCTTCCACATGTCCATGCAATAACTCCTAAGTGGCATTTTGAGCACTGTATTAGTTAGCAGCTCACCTGGGAATTTTGGGTGTAGCAGAGGCAATTATGGCAGATTAAGGCAACAAGCCTCTGTGTGGATCTAGCTCCTGGCATTGCAAAATTTGATCATCTCAGCAAATAAGTACTGTGTAATGAATGAATTCTGCTTGTGGGATTTAGTAGGGCAGAGTCCAAGTCTGCAGGACAACGTTCAGGTGATTGGGTCAAAGCCTGTCCGTTCCCTGCCACCACCGTTGTCGCCTGCAGCCTGGTTTTCTGCGTCCTGCAGTGAGCGAGGCAGTGGCCTTATCAACACCGATTTCCTTTTCCTCTCAGTCCTGGTCCTTCACATGCCTTCATTGGTGCTAAACGAGCCAGCAGCCTTTTGGAAACATCAGTGTGCAACTGTGTAATTAAAAGATCAAGGTGTAACGTATAAGCACAGGAGACTGCACGATGCATCCATCCCCAGGGAAAGCCGAATGCTCCTGGGAGCTTCATGTGTGACCCTCTGCTCCTGAGGAGGTGACCGCAGAGCAGGACGCAGCGAAAAGCCATGGCTGGGGCCTCCTGGGCTCTGCGGCCTGGGGAAGGCATCCTGGTTGCTGCAGGTGGTGGCATGCCGGCAGCCATGCGCTCCAGCCCTATAACGGCACCGCGGGACTCCACAGGGCTGTGGGCCTGTCCTGATGCTGGGCACTGAAGAGCAGGTATCTCTGCTGAAGCCACGTTTCTGCCATCGTAGCACATGGCCCGTTTTGCTGCTGCCATCAGCTCAGGGCTCGCGCCCTTGCGTAAGGCAGTACAGCTTCACTGCCCAGGTGGCTTCGTCAGTGCCTTCCCTGTTTTACCCACCCAGCCTCGGCAGCCTGACCATGTCTGCTTCCTGGCCTGCTTGCTCCCTCTCTGCCCTGTTCCAGTCTTTCCTTGCAGCCTGGATTTCCATGCCTCGTTCCCATACCCTTTGCCTCCAGTCCTGGTCTTCATTTTACTCAAAACTCTCTCCTTTTCCTTCATTGGGCTGGGCATGATGAGCAGAAATGGTTCAACATCAGCAGAGATCCTTGCTCTTCTCCATTTCCCGGACACGGTGCTTAGGGCTCTAGGGCTGAAGTATGTCTAGCACAGTTATGTTTATCCCTCCAAATCTAGCAGGTCTCTACAGAACATGAGCAAATAGCATTCAACCATGGGTGTCTATTTAAGCAAATCTACACAGATCTGTCACTAGGACAGTATCAGGCATGTTCCTGATGCAGGATGGGCCTGGCCCCTTCCTAATCCCTGTTCCAAGGACTGAAGAACTAGATGAACTGCGTGGGAAAACGTGTTCTAAACAGAACAAAAATAAAGGTCACCTAGTACCAGCGCAAACATAACAGTTAGTGCTTGTAAGGTAAGTCAAGTTCCATGAAGTTTCCTATGGGTGAAGTCCAGCAAATTAAGTAGGAGGGGCACGAAATGGTCTTTTTGAGCAGCCTCAGCGACGTGATAACACAGGAGGGTGATTCTAGTGGGGACAGAATCCAAACGTGACCGCCTGGAAATCACACCTTAGGCATGTGGCAGCAGCAGTACATGTGTGACACCAAGGGGCTTGTGGGACTTCTGTGCCAAACTCTTCCGGCAGGATCCAGCCTAAACAGATTGCAAGTGAGTAACCCCATTCCCTCCCCCTGGTACAATTCCTGGTCTCAAGGGAGCCTCAACTGTGAGGGAAGCAAACTTAATGCACATAGACCCCCAAGGAAATTGAATTCACACAATTTTGATCTAATTTGTAGCATGTGAAACATCATCAGGTAACCCGATCAACCAGCTCCCTTGCCAAGAAGATAAATGGCTGTCTAGTTTCAGTCTTTACTATATTATAACAGGATTATACTTTGTTTTTCATTTGCTCTAGCTTATGTGTGGGGCCAGATATACAGAAGACACTGCAGGACACACTAGTTTGCATGCGTCCAACCATACGTGTGCGCATGTATTTATTAACAGGAATATATTACACTTATCTGTACATCATAACTGAAATAATACAAACTCTTCCTTAATCATTAGCCACATAGTAAACTGGACCACAGCACTCCTACTGCATGGGAAACTGTACAGAAGGATCCTCAGCGTGTCCACAGGACACAAACACAATCAGTGCAGAGACATAAAATACCTGATTTTGCATTTGTCTTTGTTAATTTTTCCTTTTCTCCCCAACCACCACCACAAGTCTTC